GATCAAATCCAAATTAATGTTTGATTCGATTTGATCAAATTCAAATCAAGTATTCAAATATTTGATTTGATTTGAATTAATAGTAGTCATCTTCAAAGCTTCAGAAGTGGCTTTTACTAAGAAAACTATAGTAAAAAGCACTTTTGTGGCTTTAGAAATGCCTTTTTTACTAAGAAACATATAGTAAAAAACACCTTTGTATCTTCAGAAATGCCTTTTTTACTAAGAAACTAGTAAAAAATGCCTTCGCAACTTCAGAAATGCCTTTTTTTACTAAGAAACTATAGTAAAAATGCTTCTACAGCTTTGAAAATACCTTTTTACTAAAAAAAACATAGTAAAAAATACCTTCGCAGCTTCAGAGATGTTATTTTACTAAGAAATCTAGTAAAAATGTGTCTGCAGCTTCGAAAACATATTTTTATTAATAAAATTATTATGAAGCTGAGATGGCAGTTATTACTAAGTTTTCTTAGTAAAACTGAAGCTACGATAACGGTTATTACTAAGTTTTCTTAGTAAACTGAAATTGCGATAGCGGTTATTACTAAGTTTCTTAGTAAAACTGAAACTGTAGAGTTATTTTATTAAGTTTAATAGTAAAAATTCACCTTTTACTAAACTTACTTTGTAAGAGCTATCTTAGAAATTTTTTAGTGTAATTACTAATAATTTTTTTAATTAAAACTTTAGAATAACTTTATTTTAATATATCATTATAAAAATTTTATATTTGATTCAATTCAATTCGATCAAATATTTGATTTGATTTGATTTGATTTGACAAATATTTGATTCAATTTGATTTGATTCAAATTGATTCAAATTGATTCGATCAAATATTTGAGTTCAATTTGATTTGATTTGATTTGATTTTGAGGAACCCTATCTATAGTGGTTCAGTTATAATAGTTATAATAATAATAAAATAAAAATTACTTTTTACTGTAATTATTACTATTTTTAGATGCTAATTGACTTCTTAATACAGATCAATTTAGTGTAATATATACTCAGATTTATTTTATCTCAATTTTTTATTATATAAATCAACTTCTATTTATAATTGAAAAATATAGCTTGTGTCAAATTTACTCAAATTGACCTAAAATAATTTTCATTTTTGAAATTATTTCTATTGTAAAGTGACTATATAGTAAGTAAAAACTTTAAAAAAATAACATTTTTTTAATATATATGATTTCATATTTATCTATCTAGCTCTTCTCAAATACAGATATTTGAAATTTCTGATAAAATTATTATGATCTTTATACTTTTCTATTAGCAAATTTAACCAATTTAAACATATTATATCAACTTTAATAAGATGATACTTATTTGAATAATTCTTCTTATTCAGTATATATTCAAAAGTATTATAGTTTTAGTATAGGTTACATCTTTTTAAAAGCATAATAAAGGTTTAAAAAATGACTTTATCAGTAATTTCATAAGTTAAATTATTAATTTTTATAATATCATTAGAATTTTTAACAACTAAAATGTTATTAAAAAATAGTAGAATTTTTTTTAATTGATTTAGTAAAAAAGATTTTCTAAAGTCATAAAATAGGAGAAAAGAAAAACTTTTGTTACTTTTTTAAAATCTAATATATAATATAATAGTGTATAAAAATAAAATATATTACTTATAAATAATATTACACAAAAAATCATTTAAGTGATCTACTTGATATAAATCAACAAAACTAAGTCTATATCATTAATGTTATTTATCCTATTTATCTTGTTTATTTAGTTTAGTTAATTAATTTCTTTATTTAACATCATTAACGAATCTATATATTTTATTTTATATAAATACAGCTGAAATTTTTAGTTCAGTAAAAAGAACAGAAATAAATAAGAGTCAAGTATTGAATAGTTTAGTTTGATTATATTAGAATATTTATACAGTATAGAGTATCGACATTGAGATAATGCTCATTTGTTATTTTATATCAAATAAATAACCAATACATATATTTTACTTTATTTCAACTATAAATTAAACCTTCTGCTTACTATCTATATTATTTGTTTGCTTATAATATTTAAGCAATATTAAAGAACAAATTGTAACAATAAGTTAAACCTTATTAATTTTAATAAAATTAAATATTTATATTTGATGGATTAACTTATTTGTAATATCCTGTTACTCAATTTATATTACACAAATCCAAAAAATAAATTTTTGCTCCTATTGAAAATTGAAAATTTGGTAGTATAAGATTACACTGATTTTTAAAAAAGGAAATTTCTTTACTGATCACTTAATAAAAAATGGTTTTTGTTAATAAATCACAAATGATATTCAAAACCACTCTTATCATCTTAATTAATAATTAATTATGCAGAACAGGTAAAAATATTTTAAGTTCATTATTTTATTATAATATATTGATGTATTATAACTTTTTTTCATTTTTTTAAAGGTATGTTATATGTAACAGGTATTACAAATACATTTTTCTATATTTGATTATATATGAAATGATATTAAATAATTCTAATTTTTAAAAATAAATTTCTAAATATATGGAAGAGGGTCAATAAAAAAAAAAAAACTAAATTTTGATCAAAATTTATATTATTAGACCACTTGGCTAATTTCAATCATGTGCACAAATTTGGTTTAATAATAAAAATTAACAAAAATTTTGGATTTTCAACTTTTTTACTTACCGCCTCTCATATATAAATCTATAAAATTATTACATATTCTACTATATATAATAATATTTACTTTTTTTATTGTTCTTTATATTTTTTTATTATATTTTTTGATTTATTAAATTTTTTTTTATTTTTTATTTTTTTATGTTTTTTAAAGTTTTATTTTTTTTAAAAAAATTTAATTTGTTTTCTTTTTTTTTTAAAGTAAATTCTATATTCATTTTTTCTATTTATACAATATAAGCTTTTATATGATTTATTCTTTTAATTATATTTATTATTATTACTTCAATAATTTTAATAAGTAATATTTATTATTATTATAAGTATTATTCATATTAAAAATTAGTTTTTCTGACTTTACAGAAATATTATTTACTTTACTAATAATTATTATAAACATTTAATATTTTATTAATCATTTATATTTTTATTTTAATCAATCTTTTTATACTATAATAAAAAACTTGTTATGAACTTATTATTACTAAAAATCTTTTTTTTAATATTATCAAAATCAAATTATTTGAAAAATTTTAACTTATAAAATAATATTTTTTTATTACTTAACTTTTACTAACTTTGATTTTTTGAATCCTATTAAACTACTATCCTTAATATTAGATACTGAATAAAACAGGATAAACGGTTTAAACGTAATTGGTTTTTTAATTTTTGAAAAAAGCTAGGCAGCATTTACTTTATTTTCTACTTTATGTATCTGTTTTGAAATAAAAAATAAAAAAAAATAAGCATTTATAATCCTAGATAATCTATATTAGCAATGATTTGTTACTTATTAAATATTCTATATATATACAAATTTAAAAAGATTTGATTTATTTTTATAATAATAATATAGTATATCGATATAGTTAAGATTAGATAAGTATTTAAGATATGATTTGTATACTATTATATAACTAATTAATTTAAATTAATTTATATAATTGAATTTGAATGCAATATTTCAAATCATTTATCTATCATAAAAAGGAAGGAAAAATTAGAATGTATTTTAAAACAATTAAATAACAAAAAAATATATATAACACTTACGCAAAGAATTAAACAACAACCTCCCCCCAATGACCAAGAGTATTAAAACAAAACAAGCACAACCATCTAGACATTTCATTACAATTGATTTAGTGGACTCCGGATTTGTAGACGATTCAAAAGATTGATTATTTGCAGAAGTATGAGGATATGTACAATCCTTAATAATGCTTCGAGCCTGTTTTTGATCAGAAGCTTGGGGATTTTTAATACTGCCAGCTTGCTCGGGTTCTGTTACGATTGTTTTGTCTTGTTTCGACATTTTATTCAGGGTTGATGACAAAAGAAATGTTTTCTGAAAGTGTCAGGGTGGAAAGACATGATTTTATATCTGATTTGATCCATTATTATTTTTTTTTTTTAGCTGTTTTCGAAAGAATTTTTTATTTATTGAAGTAACCTGATTTGATTTGCTATAGATTTTCGTATAAACCCATTGTATTTTTACCAAAAGGAATTATCGCCGAATATTAAAACACCACATTTATCTTTCGAATATTACCATAGAAGATTTTTTTTTTCTTTAGAATGATCTATTTTCCATAATAAACCATCCCAAGATAATATGAAAATCAATATGATTATCCCTCAATAAGAATTAATACGACCTAACGCTAATATGTAATACATAATAAGAACCGCGGATAATTTTCCGATATGTATGGTGCACAAACCTTTTTTTGAAAATGTCAGTACAAGAAAAAATTAAATTTCTCAAGAGTCTTCAAGCTATCCGTGAACGTTCAAGAAAGGTTTATAAAAAAGCAGAGAAGAATGAACTTAAACATTTCAATCTTGATCTTTCAAAGTTGCAAGATGCTGTTATTACTGTAATTTCATTAATTAAGCGCGATTATAATGATATAAGTGAGATTCCACCTCATGGTCGTTGGCGTCACTTTGACGTTGGTGGACGTTCACGTGTACATGTTTTAATGGATCAATGGAAACAGAATAATATTACCACACAAGAAATTACACGTCGAATTTTAGACTTATTTGTAGTTTCCGTATTATTAGATGCAGGTGCTGGTAATTCATGGTCTTATAAAGAACCAGATACTGGTTCTAGTTTTAATAGATCCGAAGGATTGGCAATTGCATCTTATGATATGTTCAAGGCTGGACTGTTTTCAAGTCAAAGCTCCCAACCACATCAAGTTGATGGTTTGTAGAAAACTAAAAAATTTTGTTACCCTTTATTTTTTTAAAAAAAAAAAAAATTGAATTATATCATTAAGCCGACAGATTGATCAATATTAACGTTGATGATGTTCGTAAGGCATTTCAGGTAGATGATAATAATCCTTTGGAAGGTCTTGAAGGACGTTCTAAACTGCTTAGTCGTCTTGGACAAGCATTAAAAAATCACCCCGAATTTTTTGAAGGCAAGGATGGTTTGGTATGAAACATTTTTTATTCAATACGAAATTATTAATCTTTTCTTTTAATTAGATTAATAAAATTCTTTACCATTTCTTGTAGCCGCCAAGACCTGGGAATCTTTTAGGTATTTAAGTTTTTAAATATTTTTATTTCATTCTAAATTGAAATTGTTTTTTGATTAATGTTCTAATACTTAATTGTCATAATTTAGATTATCTTTTATCACATTCGACAACTACAACTTCCCAATTAGCCGTTACTGTTAAAATAGACACTTTATGGTCAGTTGTTGTTGATGGTCTTGCGGAAATTTGGCCTCCGACAAGAACTTCAGTGAATGGCGTGTCTCTAGGAGATGTTTGGCCTTGTGAAGTTCTTAAATCAGCAGGTTCTACAGCTGATTCAACTGAACATCTGGTTCCATTTCATAAACTCTCACAATGGCTTACTTATTCCTTAATTGAGCCAATGATAAAAATTTCCAATATCACCTTTGAAGGTGTTGAGCATTTAACAGGATTGCCAGAGTATCGAAATGGTAAAAATATATATATATATATTATAAACGAAAGATTGGATTAAAAAAATTATTTTATTAAGATTTTTTTTTTTTTTATATTTTTAGGTGGTCTCTTAACTGATCTTGGAATATTAACACTTAAACCAGCTGACACTGAACGTGGACTCAATTTTCATAACGATAATGTTTTTCAAAAAGCTGTGGAAGTTGTTCCAATGTTTGAAGTTGATGATCCTGTGGTTATTGAATGGCGTGCAATGACTGTTGTTATTCTTGATGTAATTGCTGAGAAGGTTAGGAAGGAACTTGAATTAACTAAAGAACAATTAAATTTAGCACAAGTTCTTGAGGCAGGCACTTGGAAGGTACTTATTTCATTTCTTATATTTATATGTTTATCATTTTGGATTAATCAAATTTATTTATTTATTCATTAGGCTGGTAGAGAGATTGCAAAGTCATTACGGCCAGTTACTTGCGGCCCACCAATTGGCATCAAATCTGATGGTACAGTTTTTTAGTTAGAAGGATTATAATGTGATTTTCCATCTTATTTATGAAATTAATTTAATTAATTCAATAAGTTTTAATAATATTAATAATTGTAAAATTAATTGAAATATTTTCTAAATTTATGGTTTCAGTTTGTAAAAAAAAAATTTGCTTTGCTGAAGATCATTTAATTTTCGTTCTTTACCAAAACAAAAAACGATTCGATACCTAAAAAAAAAAAAAAAAAAAAAAAAAAAAAAATTCTAAAGCATCTAAAGCTGTAAAATAAAAACAAGAGCGTTTAACCAAAGATCACACCCTTAAAATAGGTATTTTTTTCGTAATCTTGACCGGATCTATATTAAAAACTTTGTCCATGGTCAAATGGACAATATTTAATTAATAATAAACATAAATAGGAAGTAAATAATTAGTATTTAGTTGGAATGGTCAAAACGACCAATAGCCAAATACTTTTATACATTTACAATCAATCTCTTAATCTAGTTAATGAAACTTTTTTGGCGTAATTTTATTCGAAATTCAAAAAATTATCGTTATACAAATTTGCGTGTGAAAAATTCATTATTTTACTATTTCTGTATGTTAAATGAGATATCTTTAAAAAGATGGTTGGGCTAAGCCATTATCAAAAATTTGCCCCCTTTCAAAAATCGAAAAAATCGAGAAAACAAACTATTTAACGACCATCTTTGGATGTTTTATACCTTGAATTCCTTATTTTTATGATGGATCAAATAATTCACATTTTGAGAATACTTTTTTTATTATGTTCAATCTTTAATATTGTGATTTCAGCAGATGTAGTAAGCGGATGTTCATCGCAGATATATTGTCAAGGGAAATTATTACATAAAATTCAACTAGCCAATTTATTTGAAGAATCAAAAGTATTTGTTGACAAGGTTCGTTGAATTATGAAAAGAAAAAAAAATAATGATAACCTTGCATCGGGAGTGTTTTTTATTAAAATTTCATTTTATTGATAATATTCGATCACGATAAATAATAAAAAAAATAATAGCCCACGATAAAACCAGTTGATGAGGTGTTAAAGGCATTCTCTGCGCTTCCAGAAAATGCGACAAAAGAGCAATTATTTCAATTCGTCAACTCAAACTTTGGTTTAGAGGGACAAGAATTGATTTATTCACCGATTTCCCCATTTCCTTCAAATCCCTCATTTCTTGATGACATTTCATCGCCGATTCTTCTTAATTTTGCTAAGATGATTCACATGATTTGGAATGATTTATCAAGAGAATTTGATGAGAATTCATTACCATGTAAAGAATGCGAATCAACTTTTATCAGGGTTGAAAAAAAATTTATTATACCGGGTGGTAGATTTCGTGAATTATATTATCAGGATAGTTATTACATTATCGAAGGATTATTGGTCAGTGAGTTATTTGAGGTTGCTAAAAATTTTATTGAAAATTTCTTGGATTTAGTCGAACGATATGGATTTGTTCGTAAGTAAATCCCTATAATTCCTCATCTTTTTATATTTATTTGATTTTAAAGGATTTTTTTTTTTTTTTTAAAAAAAAAAAAAACGATAGCCAACGGGTCAAGGATATATTATTTAAATAGATCACAAACACCATTATTGATTCAAATGGTAAAAATATATTACAAAGCAACGAATGATACATCATTCCTCGAAAGAGCATTTCCAACATTACTCAAGGAATACGATTATTGGCGCGTAAAATCCACCGTAACATTAACGCATTCACAATCAAACAAACGATATAATTTGAATCATTATACGGTGAAAAATTCCCTTCCACGACCGGAAGAATATCTAGAGGATTATATCGTGGTAGAACAAAATTCCAACAATTTTAATGAGACGCAAAAGAAACAATTATACGCGGACATATCAACTGCTGCTGAATCCGGATGGGATTTTTCTTCAAGGTGGGCTCGTAATCCATACATACCTTCCCCGTCACCCCTAGAGAACAATCGTGAAATGCTGAGAACTCTAAATACTAGGAATATTATACCGGTAGATTTAAATTCTATCTTGTATATGAATGAGATTACATTATCGGAATTTGCAGATGTATTAGGGAACAAATATATTAAACAAGTTATGAAAAGTAAAGCCAATCAACGAAGAGAAGCCATAATGTTGTTCATGTGGGATGAAAAAATGAATTTATTTATGGATTTTAATCTTACAAGTGGAACCAGATCTGAAATATTTACTTTGGCTTCTTACTTTCCATTCTGGTGAGTCAACGTTTCTTAAAAAGTATCATATAATATACTGTAAATATAAATTTTTAATAATAATAACGATAATAATAATAATAATTTGATTATATAGGGCCGAATCTTTTACGGAATCACTTTCAACTAATGAATTACTTGGATCATTCTCACATATTAAATCACTCTTAGAAAAATATCCTGGCTCACCTCCGACGACTCTTATTCGTACAGGATTACAATGGGATTTTCCAAATGCGTGGCCTCCGTTAGAATATGCGATTATCAAAGGATTAATTAACTTGCATACCAAGCAGAATCAACCAATCTCTGATAGTGAATTTATGAAATTAGCATTCGACGTATCACAAAGATTTGTTTCATCAGCATATTGTACATGGAAATTAAGTGGTGTTATTTTTGAAAAATTTAATGCGTTAGATACCAATTTGCCCGGGGGCGCTGGCGAATATACTGTACAAACCGGATTTGGATGGACCAATGGTGTTTTATTATGGATTTTTTCTTTATTCGGTGATAAATTACAAAACCCTACTTGTACGCATTAATCATGATTCCTAATATATTTTCGATAAAATTTTATTTAATAATAAAAATAA